TCTCTCTCTCTCTCTCTCTCTCTCTCTCCCTCTCTCTCCCTCTCTCTCTCTCTCCCTCTCTCTCTCCTCCCTCTCTCTCTCCTCCCTCTCTCTCTCCTCCCTCTCTACACTCTTTCGCTATTTATAGAGATTTGTTGAAAATTGTGAGATTTTAATGTAATCTTCTATTCATATGATAATTTGCTTTTAATGTAATGTAAACTTTGAATGCATTTCTTAAACAAACATTACATAGAAATGCAATTTTATTGTTAATAATAAAGCGTGAAACAGAATATTGCCTTCAATTACACGAATTCAATCTCATATCTGATAGAAAATAGTATAAATAGATTTCAATTGACTGTATTTACTATAGTGTTAATTAGTGATCATATTTTATAATACCATAAATAATAGGATTATTACTCTTTATTTAGTTTATAATTCATATGAATTGTGTGTAAATATTATAGCGTTTAAGATATGATAATTATTGATATATTACTCTTAATGAAAGTGCATTCATGTGTTTAATTAGATAATTATTTATAATTAATGGATTGAAAAGGATTTCTAACAAGCTTTACATTGTGTGCAATGTATTTGCAGTTGAGTGCCATTGGGCTGCCGTCTGGAAGTGCGGCCACCGATTCATTAGAGCCCACAAATTCTTGGACCTCATCGGAAACGTGGACTCCTTTGAACCGAAATGTGCCCTCAGATCCGTACGTGTCCTCAGAGGCTATCATTATAAACGCATGATTGACTAATGAATCTCATTATTCAATAGGCATTCTTCGTGTGTCTGAAGTCGACATCGAAAGGCAAGTCGTGTCACAAACACAAGTCGTCGCCGAGAAGTCAGACGAAAAAGTTCCGCAAACGACTGGCCGACACTCTGTGGTCGACGCGAACGTGTCTTCTCGGCAACAAAAACAGCGTTATCTCCTACTGAACCGCCAAATGGACAGCCATTACTGTCGCCCCTCTCTCTCTTCACTATACCATATGCCATATCATAAGATATTTCCTATACATTCCGTATGCCATTCCATAACCTGTAACGCCTGACTACACCCCCAGTGGAGGCCTTTAAAAAGGGGGTTTCGATAGTATTATATGTACCGATGGTTACATTAAACACTATAATACATGTGCCAAAGAGTTACACATAAGCCTTAAATGTTGTCCCACGTTATACCATATGTATTTAATTACAGGTATTTTATCATTTTTTAGTAATTATATTAATTAGAATTCATTTTAAGTAACAGCAAAACCTCAATATAATTTTTCAGTACTACTACTGTATTAATCAAATAAAACATTCATTTATTTTGCAATTTTAAACATTTATAATTCGCAATACAATTACAATAATACTGTATTTTGTTTATCAAATTACTTTTTGCAATACATTAACGCAACAAATGAATGCAAAAACAACATAAAAAATTAAAAACCAAAAATACAATTAAAAACATTAAAACAATTAATTCGTACATCAATTTGTCGTTTAACTAATAAGTTATATAATTATTTCAGTCTTTGTTTTGTTAAAAACTATTTGTGAGATTATCATCGAAAGAGAAGCTACACATTGAGATAAAATACAACAATAATATCGTATAATTCAAATAACTTATATTATACCATAAATTATATGTTATTTTTGCCAAATAAACGCAAAACTATTTGTGAGATTATCATCGAAAGAGAAGCTACACATTGAGATAAAATACAACAATAATATCGTATAATTCAAATAACTTATATTATACCATAAATTATATGTTATTTTTCGGTTTATTTGCGCAATATATATGAGTATTTAAAACTCTAAAGTAATAAACAATGATAAAACATATTAACTTGATTTTAACTCAATTTTGCAATTTTAACTTCTGTTTCTCAGTCTAGGGCTTCGCCCTTATGTGGTCTCAGCGGCCGATTCTTGGGCCGTCTGTTCAAGAATCACCTCAAACGAGAACGGCTGAAACGAATAGCCCGTTCCCGAGTAGAACTTGCTCTGAAACTCGACCCTAAAAACGTATAATTCAATTATTAGTACAGATTATAGCCGATTAAGTAAACCAACGACAAAAATACTAACCAATGGAGACGCAGGGCGTGAAGGAAAGCGCTCAGACCTTCCATAACCAACAGAACGCTGACCGTAAGTCCGGCCCAAAAGCCAAATATCAGATACATAACAATACCGCCGGAGATGCCGGTGCCGTTCAGACCGATGCGCATAACCATCGACCACAACACCTCCGAGAGCTGGGCGTGCGCTAAACTCAGCGCCCATAGACGCAGGTATGAGGCCGTATGGGATATGGAGCCCAAACAGTACTCAATCGTGTGAATGGCCTGATGTATGAATATCTCCTGCATGTCGAACGCGACGCCCGAGCCGTGATCGCCGCCACCGCTCTGCGCCGCCGGCTCTATAGTGATAGTGGTATCGCCGGCCGGTTCGCCGTCGACCATCACTTCGTTGCCCGGATGGAAGCGCTCGCGGAGTTCGTGCTGCTTCTTGAGAATGTACGGCTTGACGAACAGCATCCACGGTATGCATCCCAACGCCGCCAACAGCAGTATCGTCTGGAAGAACTTCTGGCCCGCGTACCAGTCCTTCAGATAACAGGCGGGCACGTCGTCGTCGTCGTCCACATACTTATACAGAAACATATTAATCAAATTGATTAGTATGGATGGCGCGCAGCCGCTGTTCCGCGAGTCGTATTTAAACCATTTCGCGACAATCATTAGATTCATGTAACCGAAGATCGACAACAAGAAGATCATCTGCGGTATGAATTCGCACATTATGTTCAACCGGTACAATCAGTAGATTCATGTAACCGAAGATCGACAACAAGAAGATCATCTGCGGTATGAATTCGCACATTATGTTCAACCGGTTCTGGAAGTATCTGCGAGATAATGGACACGGATTTAGCCGTTAGATCGTGTTTGCGGTATAAATAGTGCCGTTTCTGGCCCTTAATTATCACTTACTTATGGTTCCAGAAACTCAATATAACGCCGAATAGCATTTGGCCGACGCCTAGAATGACCGACAGTTTCATTTTGTATGAGTTGAGGAATAAGATCTTATTCTCCGACACCTGCCATACCTGTTATGCCCACAAAGAATCAGATAAACAATAAGTTTAAGACATTATCACACATTTGTTCAACAAATATATTAAAAGCAAAACGAATTGAATGCAATACCGGATCAATGCCGAAGAAATAGGGGCCGCCATCGTATTGGGTCTGCGGGTCGAGTATATAATGGCTGTGATTATAGAGATTACCCGAAGGTTTGATGGCTTTCCAGGAACTGCCAAATATGTTCAACGACTTGGAGAATATGTCGTTATACATGAGACCCGTATATATGCTGAACGAACCCATCAGTAGAATAATATACCGGCCGTTGAAGAATGTCAGCCATATTTCGTTCGTCGACTTCT